CCATACCCTACACTACGCTCTTCAGATCTAGCTACTGCCACCAGTACTTCTACAAGGGAACTCCCATATACTTTGTCTTACTCATACAACCTAATGCTATCCAGCTGGTTGTCATTGAGTCTGACAACAGGTTTCCACTGAGTCTGACAACAGGTTTCCACAAGAGTATCAAGGAAGACCGAGCCCTTTGCAGTGTGCGTAAACAAAGTTCATCGTGTCCATGGTAATCCAGAGGGAGAGGACTCCCAGTAACCATCTGTAAATGGTAAATAAACAATGATTTAAGATCATGAATCAGATCTCCAGACTGTACAAACTGTCGTCATGATGATGTACACTACACATGGTAATAAAATACATGAGATGAGTTATAGAAAGAACAAGAAATGCAACCTCTCCCTGTAATGTGAACCAAGTGCAAAACCACAACCAACAAAGCCATGTGGAATATATTAAATCATCTTTATTTAAAATTGAACTAAATGAAAAACTAAACATGATACATTTCATCAACAATGTCATTATAAAACATTCTTTAAATTAGATATAACATAAAACATAGCTTATCAATAATAATACATCACAGAAATACAGGTCTAACGTCCGGTTAATGCTTGTAAACTGTGTTTACATTTGTCATAAATACAAATGTTGTTAAACAATCTCTGATGTGAAAATGTTTAATATCTGAATAAAGCACATTCGTAACGGAAAGCAGTCCCTGTTTGGTGTTTGTAGCTGGAAAACTGAATCCAATGGACTTTAACAATGAATCATACGTTCTTTAACAAGGATATTAATGTTTGTGCTTCATCTGAACAAATGCTTTAATTATGTTTTCTTTACAACTAAGCTGCTAGACTAACACAAATACAACAATGAAACTAAATATTATTTATACTGTAAATTTGCTTTCCTTTGGTTTTATTAGAGGTTACTTCTTGACAATGTACTTCTGGAGTCCTTCTGGAGTCTACGTAGCAGCTTCTAAAGCGTGCTGTACTTGAGGTCACATTAGGAGTCTTTGTTGTTATCCACAGGAAGTGTGTCAACCCATTTCTGTGTGCGGGTGCGACACTGATCCCAGTCGTACAGAGGGCGGTACTGGAAGTGGCGCTGGGCTTTATCTGAGCTGACAGTGAAGGAGGTGCAAGCCACGGCCAAAGTGTAACGGTTCAGCAACGGCGTGTAGTTGTAGACGGGGCTCAGGATCCAGCGTAACAAATCATTAAGCATAGCCATGAACCAGAGCACCGTTGAGGGTATGCGCACCCGTCTGAAGTTAAACGTGGAGAGGAACTGCATGTTGAAATTCTCGTAGCTCTTGTAGGGTGAGTCATCGTAGCAGAAGAAGGCTTCCCCTCCGACTGTCTGCGGGCGATCTCTCAGGGCTCGGGCTGCAAGTACATGCATCCAGGCCACGTTGCCTAGAAACACAAACAAGTGGGTGAATACCAGAGTGATGGAAGAAGAGCTCAAAACACTCAGAGGACAAAAGAAAAAGTAGTCAGTTTCAAGAATGATTCCTCGTCCTCACCACTGTTGTTTTACACCCTTTCAAATAAACTTCATGGTTTCTTTGGAACTTGAGTTAATGGTATATAAAGAATTAAAAAAAAAAAAAAAAAAAAAAAGAAGAAGTGTGCTTTTCAAGAATAAAATTGAAATCTCGAGAATAAGGTAAAACCTTTAGTATTAGTGAGAAAATGAAGATTTTTTTTTTGCATTTTGAGATAATGTTGAAATGTTAAGAATAAATCAAACTACTAGCGTTAGTGCATACACTGAAATTTGGAGTTCATGCCTTGGCATTTTGACTTTATTCTTGAAATACCAAAAACAAAAAAAAGACAAATATTCCTCCTCATTTTTTCCTTATGCCCTTTTACACCATATTCATGCCGTTAAACATGTCAAACATGAAATAAGAATCTCCACTTAAACTAGTGGAATAAAATCCAGTGGTGTAAAAGACAATATACCTTATTTAAAAGTTGTGCACAGTTACAACACTTGAGTAAGAATGCTAATTTGCTAAACAGCTGTGACCACATTACACTGACATCAACTGAATACAGGCTACAAATTACAAAATATCCACTGAAACCAGCATATTGAAGCTGGTATAAAATTGACATCAGCACACCTGGAAGGAGATTAATTTCATACTGCTGTAAAGATTTATGTGCCGATACTATGCACATGGTATTGTTGTCACAATGGACAGATTACTCAACGGGCTAACTGGGCAGGCACAAGCCCAGGCGTCCAACAGGTTAGGCGGCCCCTGGTAAGTGAGACAAAAGGACTAAAGGAGACAGAAAATGTCTACAAAGATATGCAAAACATCCAAAAAGAGCCACCAAATGACTACGAGGTTTGTTCGGGTTCTCAGGCTACATTGGTTAACTTTGATGAGTCTTCAAAGTTGTGATTATGACTCGCAAAAACAGGAATCCTACCTGCATAGACCCGTCCATGTTCAGAGTCCTCTGGGACACCCCCGACGACCGTGCCTCCCCTTTCGACAGCCTGATTGTAGAAATCCTTAATTAGCTGGTGTCCCTCGCCATAGATCCCCGTCGGCCGCAGAGAACATGTGGATAAACACTTTCCACCCTTCACCTGGACAGGAGACAAAACTAAGATTCAGACTCGGTAAAAATACACTTATACACAGAGCGGTCAAAGGGTAGATTTCTGTGGAATTTCATTGTAAACAGCAGGAGTTGCACCACAGCAAAGCTACAAGGGGGATGATCGAGCAATTTTGTGGCTGAGAAGTTTCCTCAAAATGTTTTACAGTAAACAACTTCTACAGCTTTCTCACACCCAGTCTTAACCCTTGTGCCTCGCTTAAAAAAGAGGCTCTGATGCCTTTAGAGTACAAACATATCTGTGTCAAGCATCATAACTTCTGGGACTTCATTCAGTTTCAGAATTTAAACTTTTAAATGTCGGTATTTTTACATCATACCACTGTTTTTCTACAATTAAATAAGAACAAAAAAATGTATTTTTCTTTTGAAAAACTAAATGCTAGGGGGATTTGTTTCACAGTCGGAGATATGTTAATGAATAGCAACAATAATAGATTTTGATGCATTGCATTAAACACTGCAGTGCTCCATAATACAGCAGCGATGCCCCTCGTGGAAAACAGGGAAATAGCATGCATCTGCCCCACAGGGCAAACATGACAAAATGGTTCAATCGAATGGAAAATAGTTTAAACTATAATTTTGAAGCCATTGCTCGAAACGTTTGTCTGCGTGCGTGCATGTGTGTGTGTGTACTTTGGCAACACAGTTTATCATAGACTTATTACAGTAGCTGAGGTTCAACTTCCAAAATTCTAGAAAAAACTACAGCAAACCAAAATGTAGTATGTCGTATGCATCAACACAGACAAAATAATCTAAAGAATTAAGCCAAAAATGTCCCAAGAGGGGCACAAGGGTTAAGCTATGATGTAATACATTATAAAATCTAATATTTAGCATTATAGTACTCAGTAATAAACATTAATACACAATCTGGATGGCAATAAATATTGTTTCTATTCTGCATCATCATGGTTTCATGATATTTATTTTAACACTGTTTTTTTTGTTTTCCCAGTGAGTCTTTAAAGTTTACAGGTAAAACATACTTTCATAAATCTCAATAAAACACCCCAAAACCAGAACACTGTTAAACATAAAGTACCTTCTTGCCATTAGCTTCAAGCACGAGTTTCTCTGCCTTTGCTTTGCTCAGAGGATAGGCCATTGTGTGTTTCACTCTGTACGGCGTGTCTTCATTGCCCCTGCAGAGAAAGAGTTAAACAGTCAGAGAAGACTCAGGAGAAGAACACAGGTAGTGTGTTTTCTTGACCTCGCCAAATGTATGAGAGGAATGTTTTTATCTGAAGCCAGACAGACAGAGAGGACACAGAGCGGAGGAGAAAAGTGTCTCCAGCGTTTCCAACAGAAGACCAAAGTTCATTCTTTCACTTTGATACATTGAGTATTGTACACGTACATACTCACACACACCCACACACACGTACACACAATGTGTGAAGTAATCATGCAGCTCTGACTCACAGAAAGCTGGTTTGTTAACCCCGAGATGAGGGAAACTGGTCCAGGAAGAGAGGAAACTCAAACTCTGGGTCAGTAAACCTAACTTTATGCCTAACATGTTATTATCTGAACTTACTGCTTTTGTGTAATTTCTTCCATCAGTGGTTTTTGCCCTCACATTGAAATATTACACACAACACAGCTGTTTGTTGGAGAAGCTCCACTAAAATGTTTATTTCACATAATGTATGGAAATACACTAATATTTCTGCAGTAGCAGGATGGTGGTGCAGCTGCAGAATGTAGTTTGGCATATGATTGTGTTTATTAGGCTGCGTATAGTCTGAACGTGTTAAACTTTCAACATAATTTCAGTGACTGCATTTGAAATTACTACATTTGTTTAAGTAGCTGAAATAAAGCCACAGAATGCTGTTGAGCCCAGATCCAAACAGATGTTTCATTTTAACCTTTAAATCATCTAAAACAATATTACTGGATCAGAACGTTTCTCTGATAGATACATTTTTAAATCTATATCTTTCATCTTCAGTTAGCCCCCATGTTTCATCCCCATCAGATTAAAACTAAACAAATATATCATAAATGTAATGAATATACTAATATATGGTCAGATCCCACCAGTTCACCATCCATTGAGGAAATGCAAGTCTGGAATAAGATGAAATTATAGACAAGACTGAATAAAACGCTCCGTTTTCATCGTGTCAGCATTGTTTTTGTGCATCCTTGCACCAAAATATTCCACTATCATCCAGATCAGAACAATGCTCTCTATTGAATTGCACAGACTTCCTCGGAGACCGTAACCTATTCTTACATAACAGCGTGACAATTGCTCAAGCGTGTTTTGAGTTAAAGTTGCAGACGTAATGCTGGCAGCGTTACGCAACCCGTGTCTGACATACCAGATGGTCTCGTGTTTAACATTAACGAGGAACAGTGAGATAGCGAGCGAGTCTTTGAAAGCCCCTTGATTATACAACCAGGGTGCTGGTTACTGTGTGTCGTGTACTTTTGTCTCCACCCGATCATATCTGTACTGAACAGGCCTTCGTGTTTTCCATGATGGTGCGTTCAGGAGAAGAAAAAAATAAGATAGTGACCACAGAAACGAAACTGCAAGAGCCAAAGAATTTCTGAGAGTAACCATGTGTGCTCAGACTTGTACACCTGTCACCTTGGTCATGCAGAATACAGCTGATCAGAGACAAGTAAAACCAGAATGACATTTGTTTTTGAGCTTCACCTGACGAAGGCGTCTCCGTCGACGTTGGGGCCGATCACTTCCATGCTGCTGGTGTAGACCAGGCACTGGATGCCACACTCCACACAGGCGTTGATCACGTTCTCCGTCCCTGAGCAGAGAGAAAAGTTATCTAAGAGATGGGGGAGGGGGGGGGGGGGAAGAGCCACATGTGTTCAGCTGATATATGAAGAAAACATGTTTTCCTGAAACCTGGTCTCAATTATGCAAAAGTAGAGCGGTGGTGGAAAGAAATACGGACATCGCAAAGTGGAAGAAATAATACCGACAATACTTTTGAGGTCTTTCCGGTTTTCCACAATAAGACTTTTTAAAAACTTTAGGTGGCCTGGTCTAAACCCTTGCTGCCACGTTCTAAATTAACTGTATTTAAGAATGAAATAATTTAGGATTAAAAGAAGTTTTAGAGAAACCAGTAAAAGAGAGTTGCAAATCTCTAAGTGGCTCAAATATAAGTATGCGTCAGCACTTCAGCATCGTTCCACAGATTAAATAAATGTGTTTTTGTGACCTTGTTCAAATGGCTCATAAAATCAAGATCAGATTCCCAAATGAATCTCAGATCTGTAACGTGTTTCAATTTGCTTGGACAGACGAGCAAACACTGACTGAAGTCTCCGACTTTCTGCTCATTTCTGTTGAAAGAAATATCGCTCATCCAAATGTTGATGTCAGTGAGACAGTTAAACGGAGTTTCAAAGAGCTGGGGTTGTCTAATGAGGCATTATCTAATGCTAACTTTCAGTGAATTTAGGAGAAATCTACAGACGCAAATAGACAAAGTAGTGAAATAAACACCTACATGTGTATTCTGTCCACAAAACCTCTAAACTGAAAAACAATGTTTTTGCCTGCAGTGTCTCACCTTAAACCAGACAGAACCAAACATCAACGCCTGCATAAAGATAACTGATAAATATAATATCTAATATGTATTTCTGTTGCGTGTAGGATTTGGTTTGACTGCTAAACAAACAAGAGTAAGTGTCTATGGCCGTGCTCGCAGCCCTTTGATTTAAACACTAAGTACAAGTGAATACAAACATTCAAGGTTGAGCAACCATCTGTTTTGGGGGGGATGTCTTCTAAGTTCTGAGGCCACACTCTGATTCACAGCAGGGTTAAAATCTCCGGTATGTACTCAAGCTGAAGGCCAGAAATCACAGAGCCATTGACGTCAACAGTAAAATAAATTCCGACTGGAGACCAAAGATACTGTGTCATGATCTGAACTCTTGTACTGACATAAGTTTCCCGCACTGGCAATTCCTACTCATTGTGGGAGGTTAGAGTGAGTTTATGTTTGTGAGACTGAAGAAGAGGGAGTTAACATGAAATCAACCCAGGGGACATAATATCAAATTCTTGTAATATTGCTAAGCCGAAGGAATCTAGACCGAACCACCCTCAGAATCAAATCACTTCCTCGGCTTAACACAGACAGACAACTTTAATTGTGTAGAGGTTTGATGAAAACATTAAATCTCACTGAGCTGAGGAGGTTCTGGCACTTCAAAACATTAACAACTTCCAGACATATGGGAGTAATTTATACATTCAATTCCAGCAGCTGTGTGTTTGGTCTATCTGCTGAATCACTGCAGACTTTTCAAGGCCACACACCGACTATAGCCTCAACCCTCAGACATGAACCCAGACACCGAATAGGTGAACTCCTTTCATCACCTGTTCCATTATTGTGAGCAGAATCCTCAGTCTGGATCGGTCGGCAACCTCCGGGTCTGAAGATTGAAGCCAATGCTGAGGTGCCTTACACCTGCATTCTCTCTAATGGCCATCAGGGGGCGACTCCTCTGGTTGCAAAAATAATTCTGATTGTATAGAGGTCAGTAAACTTATATTACCTCAGGGAACTTTGTAAACACGAGTTGATGGGATCAATCACTAGTTTAAAATATTCTCCAATACAAGATTAAAGATTAATTTCAATAGCCATAAACTGAACTAAATGCAGTCGGTCATGCAGCAATAAGGGGGAAACAATCTTGCTGCATTCAGGTGCTCCTTGTACACGAGTACTTTAATGTCTACAACCGAAGTGGTACAGAGCTACTTTGAGCTGCGCTAACAGAGGGAAGGGGCTTAAAAAACCTCTTTGGCACACGATTCCTAAAAATGTCACTTAGACTTTATAAGGATGTTCAAGTTTGGATGCAACTATGTGATGTGCTTCACAACACTTTATGAACAATTATTAGACAACATTCAATATCCAGGACCTAAACCTCTAACTATCTCTTTACAGATCCTCGGTTTGGACTCCGTCTTGTTTATTTGTGTGTCACCCAGACATTATTCAGGGGAAACACCGGCTGATACAAACTCTGCTCGTGACTCACACTAATAGGGTTAACCAGTTAAGAGCAGAATGACCCGACATGCTTTTTCAATGCACAAAGAAACTCTACCATACGTTATATTACAGAATATGTAAAACTAGCCCTTTATCCAGGTTGGAGTCTGTCACTGCAGAAACGGGCAACACAAACAGGCAACGTTGTCTCAGTATTCACCAACGTGATCGATGACATAGGTGAAGTCACGTCCTTGAAAATCATCGACAACAGGAGAAGGCGTGGGTTTCCTCTGTTTTCTGGTTTCCCGCAGTAAAACATTGCTAAAACAGAATCAACCAGTTGACGTTTCCTCCCTTTGTCATCACTCGGGCCACCAGTCCCCTGATGTCTCACCTGTGACATTGACAGCGACGATGAGGGTCTCTGGGACTTTGTGCCAAACGTCCACCAAGCTGGCAGCGTGGACGACGATATCGGCCCCCCGGGAGGCCTCCAGCACGCTGCTGTAGTCTGTGATGTCCCCCTGGATGACCACCACCTTCGTCCGCTCTGAGGGAAAAACAGGAAGACACTCAGTCAAAACTCAGTGGTTTTCCTAAGAGCTCGACAAAGTCCGGGAAGAATGAACTCACTTTATTTGTTGGCAAATTACATGTGAACTCTCATGTGAACAATGCCTTTTTCTTTCCCCAACAACAACTAAGTTGATCAAAGACACGCTTTGTGTCATATTTGCAGATTATCTGGATCGTCTTCCGACATTGTAATTTGAAACGATGGTGCATGATTTCTCAGAATTTGAGGCGATACCTGAACTTCTGAAAGTATCTGAGGTGAAACAGTCTCTGCTTTGTTTTTGTCACCGCTGAGTCAATTAACCGTTTCAAAACCCACCTTTAATCTGGGATTCATCCATTAATAAAATCTCATTCTCTTTATACTGGGATGTTATCCGTTTTAAATTATCCTCATCATTTATGAAGGTCTTACACTTGTGCTTTACCTTGGCTCTCATGCACTGTCCTTGAGATGCCGACAGATAACGAGTAAAGACGCCGCCCTGTAGCTCTCGTGGAGCCGCCCCGGAAAAGGGTCCGGATTTTTGAACGCTGAGTCAGAGATTCTTCTGGAGACAGCGTCTGTAATTTGACTAATTACGGTCTTTTAATTACAGCCGTTCTCACCTATTTAAATCAGCTCAAAATGTCAACCCGAAACACAATTAAACATCTTGTTTTGTGTGAGGCCCGCATTGGGTGTGACTGTTAGCTGATCTGTCAGGGGCCCAAACGTATACGGACAAGAAATAATGAAAGCTCAACAAAGTCCTTTCTACTGTGGCATAGGAGGCGTCATCGGTGGTGGAGCGCATTCCCCACAGCGATGAGGAGAAAAGGCGTACTGTTGTTAAAATGGAAAAAAAAAAAACACTGCTTGGATTTTGATTAATTTGATTGGTGAGGTTTATTTCCCCCCGTGGGAAGAAAGATGACTCAACATGTGAGAGGCGGAGCGCATGTGAAGCACCTCAGGCCACAACACACAAAGGTGGTGACAGTGACTGTAAACACAAACAGGTTGTCAAGGACATGTTATATACCATCTCTATCCTGGAACAGGAAGTGTGAGTATTCATAGCCCAGATGTCCCCTCTGCAGATCACTCAGCATGTGAGGGAAATTACGCCAGTGCTGTTTCCATGTGGAGACGCAGAGTTCAGCTGCAAACGCCCCATCGCCTCCTCTCACATTACCAAAAACTAATAGAAACGCAACGCTCGCGGACTGATTAGGAGACAATGGGCCCCTGGACACTGGCATGTAAAGGGCCCCGCCCCACCCCTCCTACATAAGAACCAGAGGCACCGGTTCAAAAGGGCACATTCTTGGTCATTTTACTGCTCTTTGTAGTTGTTTTGTGTCTCTTTCCCAGCAAGAAATGTTAGCAGTAACTTCCAACAGAAGCTCTTGCTCAGGGTCCCCTAACCAGTTGGGCCCCTGAGCCTGTGCCCTGTAGTCCCTTCAATACTCCGTCCATGACTTATAATCAAGTGGAGGTCTATCAGTATCACAGTAGACCTACAGGACTAAAAGAGAGAAAGATGTAGAGAGAAACCACGCAAATGAACATCGTTTGAATTACACCACAAACATGCAACTGGAGAAAAGTTGCATCAAAACCCTTCTTCGACTATCAGGAACCATTCGTGTTGTTAAAAGATGTCAGAGAATCTAATATGAATTTATCAGAGACAATCTTCAAGCGCAAACTGTCTCCGATACGACGTTGTGAACCAAACAATTATAAACCCTGAAATTAAATACAAAGCACGAGAGAGCATTGAAAGAGACACCAGCTTCGCCGATATGAGGTCAAACTTTAAATGACGAAGGGAAACGCCTCACCTGTGCCGAGTCCAGTCAAACTTAAGTCGACGTGTTTGTCGAACACCCGGACCTCCGCCAGGTGGTCCTCCTTCTCCAGTAAAAGCCTCAGGAGATGCCGGCCGAGGAAGCCGCAACCTCCAGTGAGCAGATAAACGGGACCGGACATGATGTGCTGCGGTGACAGCTGCTCTCTGCGACCTGTGAGCTCCTCAGTGTGCAGCCTGAGCGAGACGCATATATCCGAAAGAGGAGGAGGCGTGGCTGCGGCTTTTCTGTTTTTTTGTAAACCTTTTTTGACACAGACAACGTGCCTCAGGGCCTTTCTCTCCTTAGATCTGCACGACAAACATGGGCGGAAAATATTATGTGGTTCAAATAAACTCGTTCTAGCACATACATCGCAGCCAGTGGTGGAAAGTAAATTTACTCAAGTAACTACAATTATGAGGTTCTTGTACTTCCATTTTCACTCAAAGGGTTATTTGAATTATACATTTATACAATACGACAGCTTTGGTTACTAGTTATCTTTGAGATGATCAAAAGAAAATATAAATGAACTAATGCATTGTTATATATGTTATGAGGCTTTAGGTACACCCAGTTTATAAGTTATTGTTGTTAATAAAAAGGATCCAGATTGTCTGCAGAGCTTTTTCAGAAGATGTACGTGCACACAACCCAAACGTTCTGTTACTGATCTACTTGAGTCATATGACTACATTCAGATGTATCAATACATGCACTGTGGTAAGGACCTTTAACAGTGGGTGTGCACATGAGGTTGGGATGCACTTGAGTATTTGCTGTGGTGTTTTTAGCTGAGCCCACTCCAACTAACCAAACACACAAAACCACTGTCCCAGTGAATTTACCTTTAAAAAAATGTCTTTGTGAGAACAAGATGGAAACTAAAATATCATATTGTGGTGACTTTTTAACTACATACGTATATCCAGTTGAACTAAATTGACTGACACATCCTGATTATCCTCCATGTATGAGTTACCTTTAGTCTGTCAAACTGTCGAGGCCATTACACCCATCAGGTCACACATTAACACAGGATGACCGATCAAAGGGCGGTCGGCTTTACTTTGTTATCTGATGAAGAGTTCCATCAGTTTGTCACACTTTGAGAAGGCTGCTAAACTTAAAGACGGCTTTAAACATCTTCACATACGCAGTAATTCTCCCGAAGACCTGGAAACAAACTAAGTCTAAAATCAGGGGAGTTTCTGGTAATATGTTCAATAATAAACACTTATCACTCGCTGGCATTTATATTTGCAAGGATCATAGCGTATTATACTTCTCATAGTTGTAATACAACCTTTTTATAATGCATTATAATCACTGTTATAATACATTATACATGATTTTCTAATAGTTCATTTATATCATTCTGGTATCCTTTTGGTACGTGTATGCATGCATATGTATATGTATATATATGTATATGCGTATGTATATGTTACTTTATTGTGTATATTATCTTATCCTCATTTAAATATTTCTACTCATCTATATTACATCATATTTAAATCTAATGTTATGTTTGTTAAATCCTTTTACTGAGAATGTTGAGTTATTGGGTATTTTTGTTAATGTTTGCTCTGTTTATTTAAAATGAAGAAAAGAAGCCAATTAACAAAGCACAGAAAACAAAACAAGTGAAGAGCTTATTTCCAGGTCAACTCAGTTCAGTGCACATATGTAAACAGGACAGATGTTTATAAGACAGATGTAGAGATTAGAGATTTTAAACTCACATCATCCTGTACGGTGTGAGCTTAAACAGATCGCCCTCTTCACTTCATCTGGGGACTTGTGACATTTCGTCAGCCAGATTTCAGCGCTTCCTCTCTTGTTTTCTCTAAACAAGAAATACAAAAAAATTGCAGGTGCATTTCCTCTTCAAAGAGGAAATGTCACTGTAGTTTCCACTATGCAAGCAACTTCCTGTTATGAGCTCGTCATTGATACGCATGTCTTCTATGGAGCGTGTTGAACACAGTGAGACACACAGCGACAGAAAAACATGAGCTTTTCATTTATTTAAAAAATATTTTAATGCACCATTAATAAAGGGTCCAACGCATTAATACAAGAGAAATATTGCAAATAATATTAAAATAATCATCAAATTAAAAGGAAAAACAATAAAAAATAAATGACTGGAAGGTATGTACACGTTTCCTCCTCATGGAGAGAGGAAAGGGAACGACATATTTACAGCTTGAAGTCGGTGTGTTTCTACGAGAAACAAACACCTCTACAATATTTACATGTACTTCGATTTTTTTTCTTTTCCTTTCATCTTTTTATCCTGTAGGAAAGAGGGTTGGTTTGTACTGAAAGGCTTTCATTGCAACAAGAATTATCTTACACGTTCCTGTTTGGAAGGGAACAAGAGAACAAAGGTCTTCTGGTTTGAAGTTGAAAACTAAAGTTAAACTTTGGACGGCCATGGCCATTTGGAAAAACAGAGACGCAACACAAGGGGCCAAATACATCCTGCTGTCTGCAGCGCATCTATGCATACCTTCCACCCGTCTACACTGCAAACAGGTCGGGAGCAGGACTCTTGTTTGCAATCAGCTGATCCATTTCTCAGGGAGGGATGTTTTGTTTGGGGCGAATATCTCCACGCTCAAATAAAATAACGCTTTCTGAAAAGGCCCACAAAACAGGGAAAAACCAAAGAAACTTTACAAAACTAAACCTCTGAAAAGACCTGACCAACTCATATAAATGTGCCTTTTAAAGACGTGTGTAGCACACAGATCGACTAAGTTAAACACTGACCACACATATTTACTAGGACCTGCATGAGTTTGGTGGTGAAAGCTTTGAAAAGCTGAAGGAAGGAGACGCAAACTGTTGAAATGGGAAACGTCAACATTTGCTTCCATGAAACTAAACACAAACAGGCGGAGAGATCCTAACAAACACTGAACGGGTTCTCAGCACAAGACTTTTTGTTAACATAGATTTAACTTGAGGGGGGGGGGGGGGTGCTGATCCTGCAGACATGTAAAAATAAAACACTTTTAGCTACAACCTAAACCGACGTATTTTCACAGGGGGTTAAAAACAGTTCAAAGGACTTTGCTCTCGGGTTGTGGCAGATCAGGAGAGCAATGCACAGCGGAGAAATGATAGTTTTATGGGGCGGTGGATACACTGAAGCTCATTTCACTGTAAGATACTTACAGCTAATGCAACTAAAGAACACTACCATTAACAACAGCAATAGTACTATTAGAGAATACAATGAAATGAAATCAAAATAAACGGCAAAACAATCTTCACACTTTGAAATCTTGCATAACCGAAGACCTAATTGATTAAAGTTGTCGTTTTAAAAGTGCGCCCTTGACAAGCGCTTTTAAAAACCCTGAATTCGTCAGATATTCCTGTGCGTCTGTGTGCGGATCTGTGTGAGTGGTGGATGGTTGGGTGGTGGTTTAATGCGCGGGATTTGACACTGGAAGAGTGAACGAGGCTGTTAGATTATGTAGAAGTACAATACTGGTGTTCTGTTCTGGCGTCTTCCTTCAAACGGGTATTGGCATGAGACTATAAAGACCTTTCATGCCCGGCTGCACGGAGCCTCCTGGTTGGAACATATCACCCGATGGAGTCCAACAATACTGCAACAGAAGAGCCAACGCTGGAGCGGAGAAGAGCCAACGCTGGAGCGGAGCAGAGCCCCCCCCCCGACACAAACCTCTCACACACCGGCTTGTGAAAAAGCCAAGTGAATGAAAAGTGTGCATGAAAAGTGCAAATGTGTTTGTGTGTGTCTCTGTTTCCTGGGTATTGTGAGGACGGGGAGGTGAGGGGGGAGGAATCAGAGGGTGGCTTTGTTTCGAGGTCCGCTCTGAGGAGGGTGAACCGGGAGGGGGGCGGGGTGTCCGGGTCCAGCTGTACGTTGGCAAGTGAGGAAAGGAAGCCCGCTAGTTCAGTGTCCCGCGGCAGTTCTCCGTTCCACACAAGCAGGGAATCTTGTTGTCCTCCAGAGGGAACTTGTAGTCGTAGGTGATCTCTTCGTTGACGGCGATGGCCTGCTTCGAGTAGATCACGATCTTTTTCTGGGACTCTATGGTGATAACCTTGGCGTAGCAGCTCGGCTGGAGGAACAAAGCAACGAGAGACTGATGAGCTCCAGAAAAACATTACATCAAATAGAGTCATACGTCATCGCCTGTAAGCTGTGACCCAGATTTAAAACACGTCAGATATGGACAAGTAGGGCTGAAAAACAGGCCACATTTTGGCACTTTACGGTAATTGTGCTGTTTTCTTAGAAGTGGAGAAAACAAGACCGACCTTCACCTGCAAGCAACATGTTTCCGCTATGTTTCATAATCATTGATATCCCCCCCGCACGAGAATATGAGCTAGACCGGAGAATATTCAGTTAAAACAAAATGGTGATTTTTCACCCTGATTGTTCTCCTTGAAGTTGCTGGAAGTTTTATGTGGAGCGAGTTCTGAGCCAGACTGTATTTAAAGAAAACAGACTTTTCAACGCTACATTGTGCTTCAGCAACCAGCTTTAAAAGTGATGTCATTTCTGTTTAAATGCGTGCTGTGGGAGGGATTTAATACAAAAAGTCAATGATAAATGTTAATGAAACTTAAAGGGTTGAATTTAAGAACAGAATTTTAGTGGGCTGGTAGAATGAGTGTTTAATTGGGTTATTTCCTTTTGATGTTGCCAACATGTTGGTTTTGCAATAAACTAAATGATTTTGATCCCTCTGTTCACATAATGAAGAGTTGTACTTATAGCAGAGAAACGAGCTGCAGTTGTTTCTAGAAACATCGTTGGTCTGATTATAAAATGAGCGTTTCATTCACACAAAGGATCAAAAGAGTATCATTGTTAATGGCGACGCAGCTGTTTGGACAGGTGTTGCCTGAGGATGTTCACACTCACAGTGCAGCAGTGGTTGATGAATCGAGCCAGGTTGCCACACTTGGTGGCGTCTATAATTGTGTCGTGGTCCACTCTGAACAGGTAGCTGCTCCCGATGCCCTGCTGCGCGTACCGCTTCTCTCGATTGTCAGCCACCATCTGGACATATACACACACACACACACACACACACACACACACACAGACATTTGTTCACCGATCCGATGTTAAACCAAACATCTGAAATGTTTCTTATCAACAAAGCAGCAACAATGGACACAACTGTTGGACAATATGCTGCCTGCATGGGATGTCTGGTAAGTTGTGCGTGTGTTGAGGCCGTACCTGTCTGATGTTTTGACCCACGTACTCGATGACCATCTCATCAGCAGCAATGGGCTCCATGGCGAACAGGCCCCACTCGTGGATCCTGCTGCGTCCAAAACGAAGCTTCTTCTTACGATACTGTAGAAGGAGAAAAAAGACTCACTGTGACAAAGGTCTTGGTTTAAAAACAAACTAAACATAAAGTCATGAAACTCATGCTGGTTTGAGGAAATGTATGTTTAGGTGTTAGTGAGTAGATTCTGTCTTGTGCCACCACCCTAAAATATGACCACCACCCTTCTTTAGGCTGTTGCTGGTGACATGACTGTCTTCTGTCTGTGTTCAACACAGGGTGAGCTCTGTGACATGTTAAGGAGAAACAGGCAGACTGCGCTGAAGGATTAATGCCTTCCTAGTGAACAAGTTAGTCACTGATAGCGTCCATGACTCAAAAGTGTGTATAGTTAGACACTTCATTTTAATATAGCATCAGCTTATGTTGGTCAAGAAATAGCTCTAATGTGTACGCAAACTGGGGACTAAACTACATGTGTAATACACACACACATGCAGTTTGTACTTCAAATAGTTTTAAAGTGAAGAGTCACTATAGTAGACAAAGTTGGGGAAGCAGTTTACTCCAGTTTTGCACTCAGAACAACATGCTGAAAAGTGGAACGCCTTTCCTAAGATGTAAATAGAAGAAGTTTGCATCTGTGATAATATTATTGGACAGACGCAACATTATGACGGTGTTTGAGTTCCTGTCTGTTTCGCTGAACTCCATCTACTGTATTTTATTGTGAAATCTTAACACTGGCAGGTGGAATTCATCAAAAGCACACAACAAAGCGTTGTAGTTGTAACGTGACTGAGGGGGTTCATGGGTTCCCGTGGTTGTAACTGTGTTTACCTTCAGCTGGTTGAGTTTGAGCAGGTCAGAGTCCATGACGGCCGTGGTGCCGATGGCGGTGAGGAGGCGGCGCTGCTCCGAGCGTCTCTCTGAGAGGACCCGGTTGGCTCCCTGGCAGGAAACAGACAGAGTAGAGCCTTTACAAAGAGGCCACTGACACAGGCTCACTTTACAGCGTGGCCTTGAGCTGGAACAAGCTGAACACTTTGACCTGAATTTGTAACAGTGCAACGATGTCAGTGTGGGTGAGCTTCATTTGGAAACCAGTCACCGGGAAGGCAGATACGTATGTGAGGAAATGTTTAGAGGTAGGATGGAGGAAAGTTTCTCTTCTGCTTCAACAAAGTACGCTTCACTAAATTTAGACCCAAATACAGGATGTGACGTTATCAACATCGTATTTTATAGTTTTTCTCACCGATTACTGAAGAGGCCAATGAAATGATCCCATTAACAAGTACTGACTGTGTAGCCAATGGCTGTTATAGCTCAGGCTTTATTGATATTAATGAAAATGTTTTCCTTATATCCTTAACTCTTACAAACCTCAATAAGCTGTGTCCTTTTTTAATAACAATATGGATTAAACTATATGGATTTATTTCAACATCAACAGCCGGTGTCTGTTTGCTTTTAATGTATACGTGGCAAAAAAACATCAAACATCAATGTAGCAGATGGTTTGCAGCAAGCATGGAGTTTAGATGAAAGTCTAGAAATACGGCTCACATTAATGTGCAGCTGTGGCACTTTATTTGTTGCTTTCGTGTGTATTTAAATAGCTGAGGCAGCGTTATGGATGAATGTAAAGTAAACTCGACTGATTGAAGAGAAGGTGGGTGGCATACAAAGTTCATCATGTATCATCTGAAGAACATTTCCACTATTAACTCAAGAACAAAGCTCATCACAGAGTACCTGCTGTGCTACTTCTATCAGGACATCACACATGTGGACTGTGGTGTGAGATTATGAGTCCGGTATACTGTACCACTACAAAGACTGAGGTTACATCAAAACAACACGCCATGGGTAACTAAAAGTCTTCCTGCATGGAGCCAGTGAGCCACAGCACAGAATGGAAAACACATTACTGGGGAATACAGGTGCCGCATAGTAACACAACACAACTGCATGAGGGGGTTTCCTCAAAACTAAACATCAGCAGCTGCTTTCAAATGACCTGAATATCCACATTTTACTACTTTCACTAACAACAATCTGGTGTGGGATGGAGGCTGTAACCCAATAAACTTTAATTACCAACATTATACAAGAAGAGCAGATATTTTCCTTCAAAAAACAGAAAAACTAAATACTGAACATAGCAAGAACTATGAAGGTTGAAAGGATAAAGACCTCGTGTGTGTGAGAGAGAATGACAAGTAACTAAATAACGTATTGTTCGAGACTTTGGGGTGATCAGCTATTTGGAAAAGACACGAATCTATAAACATCTCTCTCCTCTGGAAACACTTTTATTACGCCCATGTTTCCAGTTAATCTGAGCCAAACTGCTGTGGGCGATTGCAGCTAGTGGAATTCCTGATGGGCATCAAGCGCCATATAAACCATTGATATAATAATACTATTAAGCAACTACTGGACCTCCTGAGGTTTGTGTGCGGAGCCAGCACTGAGAGGGACAACATCATTCTTTCCACACCATGTTCATCTGGAAGCACGTTTGGATTTTTTGTGAATTTTCCACACAATCAAACCACTCTTCCTTAAAAATCTTATCTTACGTCCACCATTCCAAATCAGGTATACAGTGTGACTGATGTTCTGGGGCGCAGCTGCAACATCTACAGCCTTATCACAGTGATGTGACAATAAAGTACTCGGTATGAGAACAACTACAGAGTGATACTTCAGTTTTGGTAGCCGTGAGGCGCAACGTCCTTCAAAACTGTCTTTGTTTGTGTCGCTTGTGTCACGTTTCAGCGAGAACGCCGTACCTAAATACGAGTGCAGAGAAAGCTGTGGACCAGGCGGAAAAAGCTGACTCATTCTCCACTGAGGGTCGCAGATTGCTTACCGAGCTGTCGACATTCTCCACCTCCCGCATGACCTGCTCGGGCAGGTCCAGGTCCAGGTAGACGTCCTTCTCCTTGCGGCTGATGGCGTAGTAGCCCTCACTCCTGGCACAGCCGGTCACATGCTCACGAAGCTGACCTCCTGCATTCTTCTTCTTCCGCCGAGGATTTGGCAAATTGGTTAGTGCAGCTCAAAGGTCAAGGAGAATAGCAGGAAACCACACAGTGATACGAACACATAACAAAACAAAACATGTAATGCACCTACTTGTTGATTTAAAACAGATATAGGTTGTTTAATGCAGGTCAGGCATTGAAAAGGATATCAGTGTGGGTGACCCAGTGAGTGTCATTGAGCCAGTCAGAGCTGTGGTTGTCCTGTAGCAGCTTTTCATAAGTCTTCCTCAGCAGACTCAAGTCTTCGCCGTCCAGACCGGAGTTCCAGATGTCATACAGGATGGTCATCTGCTCAAACTCACTGCGGTTATCGAACTTCTTGGCTGGTAGCTCGGGCGCGGCCGGGACGGGTTTCGGCCAGCGCTGGGACAACGTTACGCCCGCCTCCTGCAGAAAGAGGCGCTCACTCTTCCTCACGTCATCGACCAGTTCGTCCTCTGTGTCGGAGCTGGACAGCTCCCCGGACTCGAGCTCCTCCACGTCCACATCTTCCTCAGAGTCCTGCACAGAGGAAGAGGAATGTTACTACCAATCAACTGGGAATGAGCACTTTTAAGAAGCATTGCGGCTGTGTGTTCACACATGCAGTCCAGTTTGAATCATCCATTGTTGCCTCTTAGTTTCTAGTTTGTTTAACATTTACGCCGTCACATTATAGCTCGGGGTTAGGCATCTGTGAGATGATTGGACGAGCTACCTGCCTGTCTACGCACATCGCTCGTCACTAGAGTCTCCACAAGCTGCTAGTCTGACAGCTGTGAGGACTAATAACAGTTTATGTTAAACCTTTGGAGGGAGGCCTGAAGCGAAGAGTGGAGACAACTTGCCAACTTTCTCGCTAGATTAAGCAACTTTTGGAGCTAATGCTGCTAGCCGCTTTCATTGGAAAAGAGTTGGCAACACTGTTCTGCTTTTATGGTTGTTTACTGGTTTACCGTAGCTTTAAATCACATGACAGGTGAGATATTTATTGGACCGTTAGTCATCTGAAAGATGAACATTTTGACAGATGTATATATGCAGGGTCATTACATTATATTTTCATACCAAACATTCAAAAGGGTGCGCTATTGTTTGGACCATAATCTCTTTACTCAGCATATCACAAGAGAAGAGATACTTCAGTTATTGATCAGTCCCAAAACGTTTAAATTGAAAAACACGCTGCAAAACAGGAAAACTTCAACATGTTTTTTCCCAGTGAGAAGCAAACAGCTCAGGCGGTGTGGCACGCATGAGGAAAAACTCACGAGATAAGTATACGTGCGTAGACAGGTGCTGGTGATGTTACACCAACTGAACACATTTACATACAACACTGAGACTCAAGTGTTATTGTTGTAGAGAGGACAACATCTCTGCCTGCTCCATTTAAAAACATCCTCCGGCCAGCACGCACAATACAAAGTTAAAAATGTTTTATTACCTCATATATATATATAGATATATATATATATATATATAGATATATATATATATATAGATATATATATATATATATATAGATATATATATAGATATAGATATATATATAGATATATAGATATATAGAGTAGTTCTGCAGCGTGTTGGTTTTCCCATTGATTAAAAGCCCAATAATATCATTTTATATAGCTCGGAAATGTTGGGCATGCATGAGAGACAGGAAGTCATTTCCTTCCTGGGGAAAAACCTGACGACATTACCAAACACTAACGTGCCATGATAACATAAACCTAAACCTGGACCGACGGATGCGTCACACACATTGTGACAGATGGTTCGCAACCTGTGACACGCTGTTTACGGTTAAGAGATCCACAAACGTTTACAGGAACAAAGCAGAAGTCCCACGCACCTCTAGTTTCCGCTTCCTCTGTTTCTTGCCCGGCTGCTCCTTCTGTTTCTGCGCGAGATGCACCTCGATGTTCTCTTTGTCTTTCCTCCTCCTCTTTTTGCTGTTGTCCTTTTCAAGTTCGAAACCTTTGCCGACCGCCCTCTTCTTCTTCGACGACGGAGGCAGAGATGCAGCCTGGCCCGCATCCTCAGACTCACAAAGCACTCCCATTGCAGATATGTATTCTCCTGTGTCTCCTCTGGATGGCAGCGCCTCTCCGATGACCTCCTCTGGAGCTTCAAGCACTCCAGAAATAGTGTTGAGGTCTGCTGGGAGTAGGACAGAGGGGTCCTGTTTGAAAGAAGTCCTTTTGGTACCAGATGGTACTGAGAGAACAAGGGGTTTGCAGTAGTTGTGCTCCATACGGACAACGACACCCTCTGGGCTCATAACCAGGGCCAGCGACTCTGGAGAGAAGAGATCTTCCTCCATCTTCTGCTCCTCTGCCTCATCCGATGTCTCCGTCTCCTCCGAGTCCCCAGCGTCAGGGTCCATGTTCAGGGCTACGTCAGCCAACACGGACAGGTCGGCGGTCGAGGCGGAGGCCAGCTGCAGGAGGCCCGTGGCCCCCAGCTGCTCTCTGAGTCTCAACCTCTGCTCTCTTTCTTCCTCATCCTCGTCTTCCTCTCTGAGGGAGTGACAGGACGACGCAGACAAGCTGGTCGTCCGAGGCCTGCCTCTGGACCGTTTGCTGACGGGAGGTGGAGGAGGGGCCTCCTCGAAGGCCATCCTACACATAGAAGCGTGGTCCAGCGGCAGGTTCTGCACAGTGCGGCACACCATAACAGGAGGGACGGGAGATTTGGGGGAGTCTTTGCCTGCACCACGTTTTCCAGGGGATTTGACCAGGGTGGTCTGAGGAGACACAAGAAGTCCCTTTTTGGACTCATCAGAATCTTGGGTTCGTCCCGATGGGGGCACGATGAGGGCATTGCCTTCACCCGGTTTGGAGGCAAAGGGGAGCAGTTGGATGCCCTGAGTGACACGAGCCGAGGGGGATGGGGAGGAAGTGACGGGGGAGTCTTGAGGCCTGCACGGGGAGAGGAGGAGAGAGTCACCTGCCAGTTGAGAGGACGATGGCGATAACGGTGCCGTCGGCAGCTGCGTTTTGCTGTCGATCTCGCCCGTGGAGAACGAGACGGTCTTCCTGCGCTTCTTGAGAGGGGGGACCAGAACAATAGGAGACGAAGGACGCGGGTACGGGGGCGATGGAGGACGCTTGGTAGGTGCTGCTGATGGATCTGCCTTGTGGTCCTTGGCTTCACCTGAGAGAAAATATGAGAGTTTTGAAAGACTGGTCCAAACTTAGCAAAGCAGCCGTTTAGATAAAGTCAACATCTTCCTTTAATGTTTAATCTTAGTATTTTTTGACGTGATATGCATCTGATAATGGTTTTGATGAGGACTAACCTGTTTTGACCTCTGCCTTTGAAACAGCAGCTGCACTATTCTCACTGAGAAAAACAGAGGAAAACATTGAAGTCAGCCAGAATGATGATGACGCAATGAAAAGTTGACAAATGAATTAGCAAAGATATTAGAAACACCCCAAACTCCATACCGGCCATCTTTCTCGGTTGTGCTGTCCATGGTGGACTCATCCATGGTGTCTGGCCCTTCGCTCTCTGCCCTCTCTCCTTCCTCTTCATCCTCATCTTCAGAGGAAGACGAAGACGAGGACCCTGAGGAGGAAGAGCCATCAGAGGACGAAGAGAGGCTCTCATCATCACTATCAACACTAAGGGCATCATCTAAAAAAAGAAAGAAAAGAAAACAGTTATTTGGTGTCATTACTGCCTTAACTGAGAGTAAACATAATCAATAAAGATGTAGTAATACGATTATGGGTTGAGATTTACCATCAGACTCCTTTTCACTTTCTTCTTCATCCTCCTAAAAATAAAAAAGATCACAGTGAAATGCTGCCATCTAGCAATCAATATGAGCGACAACACAATTCTGAGCAAACACAAAACAAATGAAATATAAACTACCAAAACGTTCATATATTCATATTTATGCATGCTCTAAGAAGACGACAATAAAAGGACAAGAACTCAAACGCACCTTTTCAGTCGAGGAGCCGTCTGAAGTTTCCTCTCCCTCACTGCCGAGCTCCCACGGTTTACGATTTCTCGGCTTCTTTTTCCTCCTCTTGTTGTCCCTGTCGGCTCCGTGTCTGTTGGCCTCTGGCATTCTGCCCCCAGCAGCTGGAAACAAGACACCAGTTTCAGAGCCTATAAATGCAACCTGTCTGTTAAAACGATCAACATCAGCTCAGCAAACCTTCGTCGTCCTCGTCTGGTGGGGTCGAGGGTCGCGGCCGCTTCATGTCTCCCTCTTCAAGCTCCTGAGGTTCTTTCCTCTTCACCTGGACAAGAGCACGCCGACAATATGTTGTATAAATCAATGAAACGCAGCCAAGGTCCGACTTTAACGGTTCTGGTACTTTTAGACAACTACCATAAGATTATTCTCGAAGCTTCTCCATATGTATTTTTTTGAAAGTCTGACCAGCGGCTTTCGATTTTGAAGATTCCGATTGCCTTACCAAGAACTATAATTGACATCATAAACAACCTCTTTTGTAACTTTTCTTTCATGGAGAACTGAAATTGTATTCTATATTCACAATAACGCTGACAGTTAAATAACTTTTCTCCAAAACTGCACTAAGTTACAGAACCTTCTCTCACTCGATCGATCGGTGCATCTCTAGTTTATATTAAGATTAACTAAACTGGAGTCCTGCAGTAATGAGGACTAAACTATCTCAAATCTAAACGTGGGACAAGTACTTCCCAGTGTTCGTCTGTAGGCCGAGGTGTAGATGTCAGTAATGTATCAAACCACAGTGCGAGCTGTTGAACGTGGAGATGCAGTCCTGATCTGAGGCAGTGTGGTGCATTTACCTTGAAGGAAGGCAGTCGTAGTGCTCCTCGAAGAGACAAGCCCTCCATGCCACCGCTCTTTGCCCAATCCACAAGAGACGTGAGAGGCTCCCGAGGACGGTTGACCTTTTCCTCTTTTTTCTCATCGTCCCGTAAGGCAGACACCCCTCTCACCATCGTCTGGAAAGGCTACAGGAGGAAAACATTCACAATTTGTATTTATTCCCCCTTTTTCATTTTACAGTATAACACCGTTTCCTGATCAATGTGCTAAGCAGCAGAGAATGAGGGAGACAAATTCAAACCTTTATCAAACGGTAAAAGTAATGGCAGCTTTGGAAAGCAACACATCCCCTTGCTAGTTTAAAGGCAGCGAGATCCTGAAAGTTTATCTTTGGAATGTTTTTAATCTGAACATAGAATCAGCTTTAGGAAAAGGATTTTAGTCCGAGTCTAATGAAACAACCTCTAAACTAGAATTAGCATCTCACGGTTGTATGCCTTAGCTTACCAGCCATGCTGCAGTTTACACCCATGTGTCCAAAATGTCATCACTTCATCAGTTTATCCGTTTAGACATTTGCGTGAAATAGTTATAATAAACCTAAATTCTTGTGAGGTCACAGTTTGACTACCAAATTCTAGTCAGATTATCGTAGAGTCTTAATACAAGTTTTGCCTCCAGACGAGGGCTGAGATGGTGCGTTCACGAGCATGGACATGACGGAGGGACAACCGGAATACATTGTGCCTCTGGAAACGTGTGTCGCCGGCGTGGAGGCATAAAAATGTGGATGATGCAGTATTTCTTACCGTCACACAAAAAGCAAAGCTGCAAGCTTAAAAACTTTACCCGCACCAGCATCGCTGCGATTCGTCTTCCTTACCTTGGCCTTGGTCTCTTTCCTCTCCCACCACTCGTCAAAGGTCGCAAAGGCAACGTTCTCCACCATCTTGCGGTTCAGGTCCCTCTGCATGATGTTCTTCATTTCCTGGATCAGAGTGCCCAGCACCATCTGCACCGTGGCTTCATGCGGATTCTCAGCCAACATGGGCATCTCCTCCCCTGGAGCCCTGTACTCGTCTCCCTCCCCGGGCAGCATGGTGCCATAGCCGGGGGGGGGCATGTAAGAGGGGTAGTGCGGCTGTAAGACGTGTGGCGGCCAGCCACTGTGAGGAGGCGGGATGCCGTGGTGTGGTGGGGGTGGGATCTGAGTGCTGTGGGGGTCGGGGTAGGGGTAGGCCATGTGGTGGGGCATGTAATGGTGGTCCTGGTCATAGGGCGCACCCGCCCCACTTCCCTCCTGGTCCATGTAGGGGTGGTGTGTGTGGGGTGGGGGCATTGAGTGGAGGTGGTAGGAGGTGTAGTCTGCAGTGGCTGCCTCACCAGGACCTGGGCTGTCGTTGGCCGACGACATACGCAGCTGGTGCAGGCGACTCAGCATGTGGGTCTGCATCTGGAAAGACATAGGAGCTCCACCGCTGTACTGGTTCATCAGCTCCATGGACGAGGCATAGTCATACATGTGGTGGGGCATGGGAGGAGGGTACTCTGGGTGCAGCTCCATGTGGGGCAGCGGAGGGATCCCGGGGGGAGGCGGGGGTTGGAGAGAGTAACCAGGGGGAGGTGGAGGAGGCAAATGAGGGTAGGAAGGAATGGGAGGGTGCATGGAGGTGCCAAAGTGCTGTGCAGAGTCAGAGATGGGTGGGGACGAAGATGAGGGGTCCGTTTGTGAAGGCATGGCAGCCTGGGATGAAGAGGGGGAGGAGCCTAAGGTGGCTGAGGGCTGGTGGGTGGACACCGTCGTTATGGTCGTCTCCTCCTCCTCCTCGTCGGAGATCTCCATGTCTTCCCCTGAGGAGTGAGGGGAGGACTGAAAGAAAACAAAGTTTATTGCATTAAGTTGGGAAAGTGTTTAACCGCCATCAACAGTGATAACCACACTTTCAAAAGGGGGGCTGCAAACATAACTCAATACCACAGATTCAGGAAGTGTGCTGTGGAAATATGAATCCGGTAACCACAAAAACAAACTGTTTGTGCTCCGGAGGTTAACCATCTCTGTACTGAAGTTATTTCTTCTATCCTTCTTTTTCTTCCTTTGGGGCAAAGAGTCGTTTGTTTGACTCGTGTGTTGCATTTTGAATAATAATAAAAATGTTTTGTAGGATTTGGTGGCATCTAGCGGTGTGGTAGCTGAATACCCCTCCGCTCACTCCTCCCTTTCCAAGGCTGCGGTAAAGTGAGCCACCAAGTGCAAAACCGCGGTAACGTCGCTCATCTTGCTCAGAGGCCACCCTTACCGTAATGACACTACTTTAGGAGCAACGGAAGTCAGACTGTGGATGGCTGTGCCACAGTTTTGCACCCTGCAGCTCACGTTTCTGTAGTTTACAAGCTTGAAGTAGAACTACAGTCGCCTTAAAGGCAAAAAAAAACTAGAGTCAGTGTTTGGTTCGTCTGTTCTGGTCTACTGTAGAAACGTGTGAAGAGGAGCTGCTCTCTATGTAGACATGAAGAGCTCATTCTAAGCTATCAAAAACACAACGATTCTTAATTTCAGGTGATTAGACACTTATGTAACTATGAGCGAACATGTCAGAACCAAAGGCAACAGTCTGAAGCTCTCAGCTTCATCACGTGCTGCTGATCTTACCTGACTCTGTCCATTGTACGGCGGTGTGTGTGCTCCTGTCCTGCTCTGTGTATCAGCACACCCAGCCTGTGAAGATTCCTCCTGCAAAGCTCCAGTCCCAGTGAGAACAACCTGGGCTTCCTCAGGGGAAAGATTGTGGGAAGAGTAGGTGGAAGAGGATGGCATGGTCGCTGTAAGTACAGTGGGACTCTTCCTTCCTTCTCCCCCCTTTCCTCGTTTCCTTCCTCTGTGGCCATCTCTGTCCCCTTTCCTCCTGTGGTCCTTCTCCCCATTGTCTCCCACCTGCTCCCCCGATACGTCACCTGAGCCGCCTCTTCGCTCTCCTCCATCCCCACGGACTCCCCTCTGCTTCTCCTCCTTCCTATCTTCCTCATCCTCCTCATCAGAGGGCAGGAAAGAGAACTTAGCCTTTTGTTCCTTTAGGAGCATCTCAATACGAGAGTCCAGGCTGCTGCTGTGGTAGACGAACGGCAAACTCTCATTGGTGGAGTCTGGCTCTGGGGAGGACGAGTCGCGTTGAGGGGGCGGTGGGGAGCTGGAGGAGGAGGGAAGGTGGTGGGGGAGGGAGGTAGAGGAAGGTGAGGTCGAGGAGGAAGCGATGGAAGGGAGGGGCGGGGAGGAAGGCGGGGGCGTCTTCGGCGGTGCGGGTGGGGTGCTGGGACGGCGTTTGGGCTTCGTCCACTGCTCTTCGTGGGTTGGACTATCCTGGTTGAAGTCCAGTGTTCCGAGTGTCTCAGCGACAGCCGCTGCGATGACTGACGCTGGTGGGAGGGGGGGGAGGCGGTGGGGGAGGTGGAGGCAGGGCACTGTGGTGACCAGCGTGGAAGTCGTTGTCAGCGCCTACCGGAGGCAGAGAACCCCTCTCGGCGAGACTCGTGCCCCCTAGACGAGTGGAAGCGTCTAATCCCTGAGGGGGGGCTGGGGCAGGCTCTTTGGAGGAGGAAAATGCGGGGTAAGACGAGGGGGGAGGAGACATGCTGTTAGAGGACGAGCGGTAGGAGTTGGAATTGTATCTGGGGTCAGAGCTGTTGGAGTAGTCGCTGTCTCTGTCCCTGTCTCTATCTCGGTCTCTGTCTCGATCTCTGTCGGGGTCGTGGCTGCTCCGTCTGCGGCTGCTGCTGCTGCCCCCCCCATGGTGGTTGTGAGAATGGTGGTGGTTGCGGTGTCTCTGGTGGCCGTGGTCACCTGACCGGGCGCCCAGACTGTCTCGCCGGTACCCCCTGTCATCCCTGCGATCTGAGTGGTGATGGGAGTGGTGGGAATGGTACTTTGTGGAAGAGTTTGTGTCTTGCTGGTGATGGTATGATGACCTTCTGGAGCCGACCCCCGCCGCCCCGTAGCGCCCCCCCGAGTCTCTGTCGCGGTTGCGGTCCCTGTCTGACATCGGGGGCGGATCGTATTGGGCGGCAAGAGGTGGCGGAGGCATCGAGGAGTGGTGCGCCATGTGTGGCCCGGGCCCTCCGGCGTTGGGGTACGGGGGGTAGCAGGGCGCCTCGTTGGGACGGTACGATGTATTCGGGGGGTACATAGGGCGACCTCGGTGATACACTGAAGGTTCCTGTGCATCCTCCGAGTAGCGAGACACTTTGTATCCTCCGACGGTGGATGAGACTGCAGAGGACGAGGAGGAGGAAGGTAGCATGTCCTGGGGAGGGTAGCCGCTGCCCAAAGTGCCAGTGTTGTAGCCAGTATGCCTGCAAGACACAAATGAGGTATTTTAAAACTTGACTACCTAATCATGACTGATATTCACAAACTCTGTGACTGCCACTCGTCCATCGATTATTAATGCCACAACGGCACGAATGTTATTTTAGCAATTTATGTTCATCCAGCAGTGATTATGACATAAATGATTTGTGAAAATATTTCTTGAGGTCTCCTGAACTACGATTTGATATTGAACGGACAAACTCTCTGTCTGCCAAATAGTGACAACCAACCTGCCGCCAGTGAAGCCCGGGTCTTGTGAGAAAGCAGTCCCAGATCTGGAGTTGTAAGGAGTTCCTCCTCCACCCTGAGAGGAGGCAGAGGAGCCTGGTGTGAAGGGAGGACCTGCTACGGAGGAGGGCGGCGTGTCCAGACGCTGATCACTGAAACCAGTATCCCCAGAGCCAGGGGTGGCGCTTCCTGATGTGAGGGCCTGGACCCCTGCAGCCAAAACCGCAAGATCGCTGGAGAGCCTCCGCCTGATTTCTGATGACTGCTCAGAGAAAAGTAAATATATAATTGATCAAGTTATCAACCATAGATCATCATTAAGTAAGTGAAGTGACAATTTTAGTGTATCAGTACCGTGTCGGGCTGTGGTTGTGGCTGTGGCTGAGTTGGGGCCTGAGGCGGGAGCCTGTCTGTCAAAGCCTTGCCTCCCAGGGGCACAGTCTGAGGAGTGTAGGACCCGTTTACTATCAGGTTGTAATACTTCTGCCTCTGCTGGCCTGGGTGGATCAACAAAAAGCCACAGAAAAACAAATACAGGGCTGTTAAATGAGCTCACCTCAGACATAGATGGTTCTCATGACAAACTCTGTCTCCACCAAGAGCCAGCTAATGTATGTTTTTTTGTTAGTTAGCAGGAGATCCCAAAAGCTTGAGCAGATGAGGCTTTGAGCTTACCTTTTATATCCAGCTGAGCTTGAATGATGTTTCCCATGACAGAAGTGTTGTGCAAATGTTTGACTGTGTCCTTGGCTCCTCTGGTGCTGGTAAACAACACCCTGGCCAGGCCCAAGTGCTTCCTGGTCTTGGGGTGAAACAGGATCTCCATCTCCTCCACCTCACCAAACTTGGCACACATTTCTGCCAAGAAGGGCTCCTTGATATTGTCATTGAGTCTGGCAAAGGTCACCTCCTTGAGGGGTATGGGACCCACGTAGAACTCGTCAAGCTGTGGAGAAAATAGACAAAAATCGGGGGCAAATAACTTGTCATTGCCATGAATGAAGCTGCGAGAAAGTGTGAAATGAATGTTAACCAGCTTTTCTCACCTTTAACTTCGGCACTGGCAGGGACAGTTCTGTATACCTGGACCACAGTCTCCGGGGTCGAGGGTCCCGCAGTTCACCCACGGGAGGAAATCCAGAGTCCTGGAAACGTTAAGGTTACATTTCCTTACTGAGGCATTCAAACTTGACACCGCGTCTACCTCACACAGAGAGATGGACGGCAGAGACATGAGGAGCTGAAGTGGCTCCAGCCTCCTTTCAGGTCGGTCTGGATTGCACCATCAACCTGTTCATATTCTATGACCCTCGCCGTTGACTTTGTGGCACGTATGTATTTTGAATCACATACTTTGTTATATTTATGATCCTTATTGTATATAAAGTAGATACATTTCTGTCATTGTCTACATTTGTTTTTTTGCACCTTACTGATCATTTTGATTGTTTATATTTTGTTTATTTGCACTCCACAAAGTCAAACTCTTTACCACTATGTATTTAAACTGCTGCACAACAAGTTACCTCGGTATACATACCTTATCTTTAATCACACAGGTTGCAGTTCAAATATACAATTCTAAGCGCGCGCACACACACATGTTATAGAGAGTAAAACATGGAAATCAACTCACTGGCACACTGAAATGCACTCCATCGTATCTGTAGATCTTCTGTGCAACCCGCCGGGTGGCTGGGTCCTGGACGAGTTTGTAGCTCTTCCACTGCAGACTGACAGCTTTTTGAGAATCTGCCCCACCGTCTGGATCCATCCTACAGCTGAGAGTCACAGGGCGGCCATGATTTCACACAATGATCACGTCAAGACCACCACCACGATTAGAGATATACTGATGAGCACTGCTGCAGTAATGACAGCCACAGTGTGTGTGGCCGTTGGCAGTGGGTTCACTGTCTGCTAATGTAACACAACGATGAGCTGCGTCACATCAGTTAGCCAAACATGAACTTTTTATGACCCGTTGTCTGCTAATAGTGATATTCTAAACAGAGCAAAATAAACGTTTAAGCAGGTTAATAACGAGGACGTTGTCAGTCTCGACTAAGATGCTGCGCGCTGTCAAAACAATGACCAGCGTTACGTCACTGACTAGTTAGTTCAGTTAGCAACATGCTAGCTGCACACACAAAATGCAAAGAAACTATGTTTCCCGACGTCAAAACAGAGTTCACGTTAAACGCATAATGAATCGGGTGACGAACTATTCCGCATGAGCAACATAACCGGCAGCTCTCGCGTTAGATAACGTTCACGAATGTTAAATTACTTATGCCTTCTCGCTTTAGCTAAGGCAAGTTAATGCAGCCGTTGGCTAATGCTAACTAGCAAGAACACCAAGTTTAGGAGGCAAACTCTGATCTAGCTTCCCTTCTGCCCTCATCGGTAACGTTTAATCTGTGGGAAATAAAGTCACGCACCCGTCTCAGAGGCTCTACTGACTTGTTTTGACCTCCGGTCCGCCAGAAATTCAGACCCCACCTCTTCGAGATCTACTGCCCGCTCATCCGAAAGTAGCAACCCCGCCGCTACAGTGTAGGCAGCTACATCCAGGCCCGGGAGACGAACAAGAAAAACACTGAGACCCTAACAGAAAAGAGACGTCTCCGATCCGGCGCTAAAGCAAAACCGACGAGCTAAAACGATGCCGCTACCATTCCGGTACTTAGCCCAAACAACAACACGCATTTCCGACCGGCGAAGCCATTGTTTTCGCTCTAAAATCCATATATTGTGAAGAGAGCGGCCATCGCGTAACCAACCTGAAAGCCTCGCCTGTTCTCCATCAGTGTTTGCGAATGCAGCCTACGATTCCTGAGCAGCACTTTCTGTAAGAGCGGTTAGTAGAAAAATAAACGCTAAGTCACAACATGGAGGTAAACTGTTCAAATTATTAAAATAAACAAACATTTTATATTGATAAACTTCTTTATTTTGTTAATAAACACATTTCTACAGTTAGAAATATATATTCGAATCTGCGCGTACCAACCCAAGACCAGGAAAGTGACTAAAGCGCCCCCTATCGGCGGACTAGTGGTAATAATGACAACTCAGCAAACGAAAACTAATCTGATCACATTTCTGAACCAAGTGGTACACAGTTCTAATATATGGCACAAGTATTATTAACAAAATGTACTTTAAGTATCAACATTAAAAATACTCATTAGACGGCTAAATTTCTCCCACAGTGTCTTATTACATATTAGTGCGGCATTGACGTGTAAGCAGCATTTTAAATGTTGTTGAGGTGTTCAGTATACATTCACGTAAGTAGCCTACTGTACCTAAGGTTTAATTTGAGGTACTTGTCCTTTACTTGAGTCTTTTCTTTTCATGCCCCTTTCTACTTCTACTCCACCATCTCAGAGGGAAATGTGCTTTTGTACTTCACTGCACTTATCTGACAGCTTCAGTTAATTCACAAATTAAGATTTTTAAATACAAAACATACAAAGTAGTGCAGTGCAGTTTGTTCAAGCACAGCTGAAACGATTAGTTCGTTGACAGAAAATAACTTGGTGTTGTGGAAATTTAATTATTTAGATTTGTTTCCACCACACTTGGCAACTTACCATTTTAATTGTTTTAATTTATATATCATAATGTTGAGATTTGAATATTGTAAAGGTGTCACGTTGGGCTCTGGGTAATTGTGACAACATTTCTCACTATCTTCAGAATATTTAAAAACTGATTAAAGGATAAAATAATCACAGCTTAATCCACAAGGACAATACACATTAGTTTAAGTGCAGGTTCTGAATAAATGTACTGAGTTACATTCCAGCGTTGGTTGTTGGTTGATTACTGTCTGTTGGACCTCTAGAGGCAGCGTTTCAATGTGTGAAGCGGCCAATATTGTGCACCATGAAATAATAAACGATGTAAATGATCTGCTGGAGTGGATTCATTTTGTGACAGAGTTAGAACATTTGAATGAAACCGATCAAGACATTTCAGGAAATATATAAATAAGAAAAATGGAAATCTAAAAATGCACATTTTAAACACTGAAAAGGCAAAAATGTGGAAGCACTGGTTTCCACAGAAAAGCATGAAACTGTACTTGTAATAGAATTGCAGTATTTCTGCATTAGACATGAATAAGCCAATCCTTTTCAGTGTTGCATTAATGTTTTATTAAGTATGTTAATTTAAGTCTTTGGTCATTTCTGATAACTCATGGTGTTTGTGTTAAAGGATTGCTCTACATTTTGAGTTAGTGAGGACAAAAATAATTTATAAATATTCCTGTGGTTTCATATTATCCGGGGATTATATGTCTTGTTATACAGCCTTACATCTGGCTAAACACAGTCATTGTATCCGTTTTAGCTCGTCAACCACACTGATGTAACCAAATCTAGTAGCGAGACTGCTGACACAATCTCAAATTTAAATTTAGCATTCAGCCTCACCCATTCTGGTCCCCATTATAGACCCTCACTCTCTTAAAGGTCTGTAAATCAGTCTCTATGTAATTTATAGACCGTCACTCTCTTAAAGGTCTGTGAATCAGTCTCTATGTA